CTGGCCCACTACCAGTTTGGAATCGCACTTGATTCTGAGGTGTTTGGCCTTGAGACCGGCGGCGAGTCTGAGACCGCTGAGGAGGGCCTCATACTCGGCTTCGTTGTTGGATACCCTGAAGTTGAAGCGGATGGCATAGTAGGCTCTGAATCCTTCAGGGGATATGAGGACGACGCCGCCGCCGCATGATTTTGCGGCCGACGAGCCGTCAGTGAACAGGGTCCACGTGTCGTCCGGCTCCGGCCCGGGGTTGGCGACGGCCGTCTCCCTTGCTGTGCATTCGATGACGAAGTCGGCCAAGGCTTGCCCTTTGATAGATGGCCTTGGCTTGATCTCAATTTGAAACTGGCTGAGGAAGATCGCCCATTTCACCATCCTCGAGGAGCTAGTGGGGCTCCTCATGAGCGCGCCAAGAGGCTGCTGGGTCAGCACGTGGACGGTGTGGGCTTGGAAATAGTGCCCCAGCTTTTTCACGGTGTGGACGATGGCCAGCACCGTCTTCTCAATGGGGGAGTACCTGAGCTCGGCCTCCCGGAGTATCTTGCTGATGTAGAAGATGACCTTCTGCACCCCTTCGTCCTCACGGATGAGCACGGAGCTTATGGCCGACGTGCTCACCCCTAAGTACAAGAAGAGGGTTTCGCCGGCTTTGGGCTTGGAGAGTACGGGTGGGGACGACAGGTACCTTTTCAACTCGTCGAATGCTTCCTGGCACTCCGTCGTCCACTTGAAGCTGTTTGCCTTGCGCATGATCTGGAAGAAGGGAAGTGCCCTCTCAGCTGACCTGGAGAGGAAGCGGTTCAAGGCCGCCAGGCGCCCCGTCAGTCGTTGTACCTCCTTGACGTTGCGGGGCGGCTCCATGTTGATGATAGCCTGCGTCTTCTCCGGGTTTATCTCGATGCCTCTCCGGCTGACCATGTAGCCAAGGAACTTGCCGCCCTGGACGCCGAAGGCGCACTTCTTGGGGTTAAGGCGGAGCCTGAATTCCTTCATGATTTCAAAGATTTCCCGGAGGTCGTCGGCGTGGGAGGTGGCCTGCCTGCTCTTGACGATCATGTCGTCGACGTACGCCTCCATCGTCCAGCCAAGGACCGCTCTGAAGATTTTAGCCACCATCCTAGTATAGGTGGCGCCGGAGTTTTTGAGTCCGAAGGCCATGACGAGGTAGCAAAATATTCCCTCTGGGGTCATGAATGCCGTCTTCTCGGCGTCATCTTCGTGCATGGAGATCTGGTGGTACCCTCTGAAAGCGTCGAGGAACGACATCAACTCGCACCCCGCCGTCTCGTCCACCAACTGATCAATGGTTGGGAGAGGGAACGGGTCCATGAGGCACGCCTTGTTCAGGTCAGTGTAGTCAACACACATTCTGAACGTCGGCGGTTTCTGTGCGAGGACGACGTTGGCCAACCATGTTGGGTACTTCACCTCTTTGATATGTTTGATCGATAGGAGCATGGCGACCTCCCCTTTGACGAAGTCCCGCTGTCAGCGGACAAGTAGCGCCGCTTCTGTTTGACGGGCGCGGAGGCCGGATCGACGGTCAGCCGGTGAATGATCACCTGGCGGCTGATGCCGGGCATATCGTCCGGGCCCCATGCGAAGACAACGGCGTATGACCGTAGGACGAGGAGGATGGCGTCTCGTTGGTCCTGGGGGAGTTGCTTTCCGACCCTGAGAACCCGCTCCGGCCGGGAGGTATCCAGAGGGATTTCCTCGACCTCCTTGGCCGGCTCCGCATGTGGCCTCTCCTCGTCCGTGGCGACGGCGGCCGTGATGGTGTCTATCCGCTGTCCTTCCCTCTCGGCCGGCCTCGTCAGCTTGAGGTAGCAAGCTCTGGCTATCCTCTGATTTCCTCTGGCGTAGCCGATGCCGTCATTGGTGGGGAACTTCAAGCATAGGTGCTTCATGGAGATGATGGCCTCCAAGTCCTCCAGCGCTGGCCGGCCCAAGATTAGGTTGTGGGCGCACTGGAGGTTGACCACCATGAACTCCATGTCAATTTTGGCATGATGAGGGCCGTCACCGACTTCCACGGGGAGGACTATCGTGCCCTCGACGTCGATAGAGTCCCCGGTGAAGCCGGATAACGGGGTCTTGATCGGCTTCAGCAGAGCCCTGTCCAGCTTCAGCTGCTTGAAGGTGTCCAAGTACATCACATTGACGGAGCTCCCCGTATCGATGTAAGTACGGTGGATGATGGAGTCACCGATCTCACATCGGATGACGAGGGCGTCCCTGTGTGATCCCGTACCCGGAGGCAGATCCTTGTCGGTGAAGGTGATCGCCTCCGTCCGCTGCTTCTTCGGCTGGGGGGGAACGTGGGACACCTCCCCAATGTAAAGGGATTGGGCCCATTTCTTTCTCTGGGTGGCGGAGTCCCCCCCAGTGTTCCCTCCTACGATGAGGTGGATGTGATTCTTCTTCGGCGGTGGCTCCTCGAAGTCCTCGTCGTCGCTGAGTCTGCCAATCTCCCGTTTCTTCACAGAGGGTTCGCCCCCATGTTTGCCGGTGTTTACCCAAGTGTTCTTGCGTGGGCCACCTTTGACAAACTGGGAGAGTTCCCCTGGCGAATAAGACGCTCGATGGCCTTCTTCAGGGTAATGCAATCGTCGGTGTTGTGTGACGAGTTCTTGTGGAACCGGCAGTACGTGCCGCCCTGCTGGATGGCAAGGATCTCCTCGGCCGGCCGAGGAGCCTGTTCGATGAGGCCGTGCTTCTCGGCGTAATCGAGGATGGTGCCGACCGGGTGGGTGAGGGTTACCCCCGGCCGTTCCAACCTCGGCCGCCAGTGGCGGTCTTTCTTACTTTGTCCACCAGAGCCGTGGCGGCCCTGGGCACCCTGGCCGGCCGGGGACGGACCCGGGGCCGACGAAGGATTTGTCTTCTTGGGGGGATGGCCCCCTTCCCTTTTGTGATTGTGGAGCTCGTCGGCGTCGGCATACAAGCCTCCGCGCTGGAGCGCCTTAGCGTACGACCTCGGGGGGTCAGTGATGAGGCTCGTGGCGTACGGGGAGCTGCGGAGGGCTCCCTGGTACAAGGCGAGGAGGGTGCGCTCATCGGCCCCCTCGACCTCCTCGGTCTCCCTCGTCCACCGATCGATGAATGACCGGAGGGACTCTTCGTGCTGCTGCTTGACGGAGAGGAGGTGGGTGAAATACTTCTTGGCGCGCTTCCTCCCGGCAAAGTGAGTGAGGAAGCGCTGGGCTAGATCTTGCCATGAGTCAATGCTTCCCTCTGGCAGTCCGTTGAACCACTCGTACGCTGGCCCCTCGAGAGTAGAGAGGAACCAACGGCAGAGGTATTCGTCGGACGCGTTCACCATGAGCATGTTGTTTTGATAGCGGCTGAAGTGCTCCTGGGGGTCTGATCGGCCATCGTAGGACTTGATGGCGTTCCCCCTGTACTTCTCAGGGATGGGGGCCGAGAGGACCCTGTTGGTGAAAGGGGTCCTCGTCCTGACCTGGATGATGGGGTCACCTCGCCCTTCGGCCAGCTCCCTCTCCAGGGCGCTAACTTTGTTCATGAGCGCGTTGAGGCCGGGGTCGTTGGAGGCGCCTGCCGTAGGGACGTTGGCCGACTGCTTGGCCTCCATCTGAGCTAGCCTCCTCTCCAGCTGGGCGATGACCTCGTCCCGGGGGTCCCTGGCGGCCGTAGCGCCGCCCGGCTGGTTTCTCATGCGCTCGTTGTGAGCCGCGTTGATCTGGTGACGCACGTCATCCTCGTGCAACTTTCCTTTGCCCTTGTCCGGGCGGGGCTGGTCCGCTGTCCGGGACACAGACCCCAAGCTTTCCCTCGGCGAGCCAGGGCGAGGATCACCAATCCGTCCCGCCATCCTCTCCGAAACCGGACGACGGCGCGTGTCACCAAGCCTATTGAAGGCAGAGGCTTTTCCACGCGCTGGGGTCTGCCCGGGCCGAAGAGGGGAAGCAGGGTGGGAGTGGGACGACGCCGTGTCCTGGGCCACAACCCCCTCATCGTTGCCTATCTGGTCGGCCAGTGGTTGGGGACGAGGAGGCGGAGTGACGTTTCCCCCAGTCCTTGGCAAGAGTGCGCTGAGGACGGTGGGATTCTGAGCCAAGCTGGCGATGATAGCCGACAGTGCGGCCTGGACCTGAGGATCTACGGACGGAGAGGCCGCGGCCATAGGCTGGGCCGGGGCGTGGTCCGCTTTCTCAGCTCGTTTCTTTTCCAGGCCGAGGCGGGCGTCGGGGACCCCGCCGTTGAGTTGGTTGCGGAGGTTCGTCGTGAGGTTGAAGGCCTCCTGGAAGAGGTCTCCTCTGCCGACCTGGTCGGCCGTGGCGTCCTCATTGTGCTCCCTGGGCTCTTGGTCCTCAGGGATGACTTTGCTGACGAGGTTGCGGTTGGACTTGGTTCTCCTCATGATCAGTGGTTAGCTGTGCTTGGTAGCGACGAAGGGTGCTAACTTGATTGTTCTAGCTCTCAACGAGAGCACCAAATGATAGAGTATATCTCCTGAATTCTAGAGAGAAGTGAGAGCTAGAGAGAGAAATGCAATAATATGCTTCAATAGAATGATTTTTTCACCCCTATAACTACTCCCAAGGGGAGTATTTATAGAGAAAATTAGGGTTGGGCTCCCAAGCCTTGGGCTTGGGAGGCCCATTTACAACTGGACCGCTACTGGGCCGAATACAAAGCCACTAATGGGCTGTACAAGTGAGTGAGTATAGGATCCGATTCTGGGAGGTCCTCGTGGCCGACGAGGGCGTGGCCGACGAGGGCACGGCCGACGAGGGCACCCGGGTTCTTTGGACTTAGGATCATAATCCGGGTTGGCTTCTTCTCGGCCGACGGGGGCGTCTTGGCCGACGAGGGCGCCACTCTGTTGTCCTGTGCTCTGTTCTTCCGAGTATGTGGGTCCTGGGGCTCAGACCCATATACTCCATCACTTAGTATGGGCTAGGTCCGTAACAATCGGTATCATCCCCATCACCATCTTCCTAGTCCTGACACTCCGAGTGGTGGCCTATGGGGTGGTGGCTTGGGCCCTGAGGTGCCAACCGTAAGACGTTGGCTCTTCAAAGCGTGGTGTATTGTAATGATCTCACACCGGTCAAGTATGGGCTTGACCGGTGGCTTATAAGCAAGGTGTTCCCTCTTCCTAATCGGCAGATCTTTTAGGAGTGAGTTCTACACTTGAGCTTGTAACACTGATATGGGCCTAGTATAAGCTAGGTCCGTAACAATTGGTATCCCTTCCACTAATATGGGCCTAGTATGAGCTAGACCCGTAACAATTGGTATCCCCTCCTAATTTTACTTGTGTTTTAGTGATTTACATTCTTCCAATAATATTGTCCGTAACAATTGTAATCCGTAGTTGCAGTTAGGCAAAAAAAAAGCTGATTGTTTTTTTTAAGCCACAACAAACATGAAACACCTCCCCCCAGATAGACCTGAAAGGCAACCAACGGTGGCGGAAGCAAGTCAAAAGTTCGCTTCTTGCCTTCTTCCCTTTCCAAACGCCGCCTCCCGGATAATGATTGATTAGCTTTGGATTAATCCTAATCAAAGCTACTACAAATTCCAGTCAACCTTAGCCACTCAACCCAGTATTTATTTGTGAGTATAACAGTCTCAGTTAAGCTAAATCTACGCTAATGGCTGACGCCGGTCGCACACCCACCGTCGACACCAACGCACTGGTGGCTATGTGCCTGGCACGCGCCGGCGTTGACCGGATGTTCGGCGTCGTTGGCATACCCGTTACTTCCTTAGCTAACCGGGCAGTTGCTCTCGGTATCCGGTTCATCGCTTTCCACAACGAGCAGTCCGCCGGCTATGCTGCCTCCGCGTACGGCTACCTCACCGGCAGACCTGGGGTTCTGCTCACAGTGTCGGGACCCGGATGCGTCCACGGCCTCGCCGGCCTCTCTAACGCGTCCGTCAATACCTGGCCACTGGTCATGATTTCCGGCTCCTGCGATCAGAGAGATTTCGGCCGCGGCGACTTCCAAGAGCTGGACCAAATCGAGGCCGTGAAACCCTTCTCCAAGTTCTCTGCTAAAGCCACTGACATCACCAAAGTCCCTGGTTGTGTGTTCGATGTTCTGGATTGGGCCGTCGCCGGCCGACCCGGAGGTTGTTACTTGGATCTTCCGTCTGATGTGCTCCACCAGAGTGTGAGCGAATCAGATGCTCAGAAATTGATTGCAGAAGCTGAGAACGCAAGGAACAACAAAAAGGCCCTAATAGAAAAGCCAATCGTCAAGGATTCTGATATTGGGAACGCAGTGGCTTTGTTGAGACAAGCTGAGAGGCCATTGATTGTGTTTGGAAAAGGGGCTGCCATTTCTAGATCTGAGTTCGAATTGAAGACCTTAGTAGAGAATACAGGGATTCCCTTCTTGCCTACTCCCATGGGAAAGGGTCTGTTGCCCGACAATCACGAGCTGGCAGCCACAGCATCAAGGTCTCTGGCTATCGGAAAATGCGACGTGGCATTGGTGATCGGGGCCCGGCTCAACTGGCTGTTGCATTTCGGGGAACCTCCAAAATGGTCAAAGGACGTGAAGTTCATATTAGTGGACGTATCAAAAGAAGAGATTCAACTGAGAAAACCATGGTTGGGGTTGGTGGGAGATGCAACTAGGGTTTTGGGAATGATAAACAAAGAGATAAAGGATGATCCATTTTGCTTAGGGAAGACCCACCCTTGGGTTGAGTCACTGTCTAAGAAAACTAAGGAAAATGTGTCTAAGATGGAGGCACAATTAGCGAAGGACGTTGTTCCGTTTAATTTCATGACTCCAATGAGGATTATCAGAGATGCAATATTGGGATTGGGCAGTCCTGCACCTATATTGGTATCGGAAGGAGCGAATACGATGGACATTGGGAGATCAGTGTTGGTACAGACTGAGCCAAGGACTCGTTTGGATGCTGGGACTTGGGGAACAATGGGGGTAGGTCTTGGTTATTGCATTGCTGCTGCTGTGGCCTCACCCAATAGGCTTGTTGTTGCTGTAGAAGGTGACTCTGGATTTGGGTTCAGTGCTATGGAAGTTGAGGTAGTATGCTCTTTTTATTATACATAGTACTAAATAGATTTTTTATTGTTACTATTAATCAAAACTATATACTAGCTCCGTTCTGTTTTAATCGCAATATATTGGACTTTTCGCACTATTCACATATTCTACTTTGACTATATTTTATTTATTGATGTATTATAAATTAAATTTTGTAAAAATATTTTTAAATTCCTCTCATTTTAAATTTTCAAAATATGAATTTTTTAATTTTTTTACTAATACGGAATGAAAGATATTAATGGTCAAACTTGTGCGTTGTCAAGCGTCAAAAATGGATCGTTGCACTTAAAAAAGAACGGAGGAAGTATTATTAGATACCTATATAATAATGCAGTTACAATTTTCTATTATACTTTACAACATGGTTTTCCCACCTAGCATCATTGTAGGTTTCTAAGCTTCTGTTTGGTAGAGAAGAAATAGAGAAGAGAGAAATGGAGAAGAGAGAAACACTAGAGAAATATGGCAGGTTTTGCGTGTTGTTTGGTAGGAGAGAAATGGGTAGAAATTGAGAAAACAGGTCACTCACCATTTTCATTCCTCTCTTTCCTATTTCTCCCCAACCAGCAGTTGACTTTGTCCATGCCATCAAGTGGTCAATTGGATGGGAGCTCTACTTTTATTCTTTTTATTATTTCACAATGGTTATTTCTATTATTGTAAACATCTTATCCATGTATGGTATTTCCATATGATGTCACATTTAAGACCCTTGCTTGGGTTCTGTTTGGATAGAGGGTGCTTGCAGGCCGGGAAAGCTCTGGAGGACTTGATCTATTTTTTTGAAATATATATTAGATTTTATGAAATTCAAAGGTTAAAATAATATATAAGGGTCATATAACACTAATACTGTCCAGACCCTTAAATGTCAATGATGTGCACTACATTACCCATATGAGTGTTGATCTCACTCTGAAGAAACACATTACTTGTCATAGCTTCAAATCGGGTAGGTGTTATTCCTTCTTCATCTTTTTCTGTCCTCCGCTCATCTTCTTATGGGTAAATAAATTGTGAATATGCAGACATTGGTTCGATATCAGCTGCCAGTAGTGGTCATAGTCTTTAACAACGGTGGTGTATATGGCGGTGACAGAAGGAACCCTGAAGAGATTAGTGGACCCTTCAAAGATGATCCAGCACCCACTTCTTTCGTTCCAAGTGCTTCCTATCATCTTCTGATTGAAGCCTTCGGAGGGAAGGGGTACCTTGTCGGAACTCCAGATGAACTCAAATCAGCACTTGCTGAGTCATTCTGTGCTAGGAAACCTGCCGTTATTAATGTTACAATTGATCCCTATGCTGGTTCTGAAAGCGGGAGATTGCAACACAAAAATTGAGGCACGCCACTTCACATCCATTTCTTGCGACCAATGTTGTAAATTGCCACGATTTTCACATAGGCACCTCTAGTAGTGGGAATCCTTGTTTTTTCTTATTTATTAACCATAATAATACAACCAAACTGCAATTGGTTTACCCCTTAATTTTGGGAGTCTTATTTTATGGGGATAAGAGTTAGATAGGGCCTCAAACTTGGAAAAAAATGTCAAATAACGCCATATTTAGGATGCTCTGTCTAGCCGACGCCATTAAGGGTGTTTTCTGGTGGAATTTTTTGATGATTTTTTTTGAGAATCTTATTCATTAAGTCTAGTTTACTCATATCAAATTTGAACTAAAACTTCAATCGCGAAGGCATACAAATGAATTCTTGAAGATAGTCGCGTAGTTAAAAGAGTAGTTATCTTCAAGAATTCATTTGAATGCTTCCCTGATTGAAGTTTTAGTTCAAATTTGATTTGAGTAAACTAGACTTAATGAATAAGATCCTCAAAAAAATTCATCAAAAAATTCCACCGAGAACCGCCCCAGATGGTGTCGGTCGGACAGAGCATCCTAAATATGGTCTTATGACATCTATGGGTATTTTGTCCAGCTACAACTCTTATTTAGAGAAGTGTAGGGTATGTTTGGCACAACTAGCTGAAAAAATGCTTTTATGTGCTTTTTAATAACTGTTACTCCCTCCGTTCCGCAAAATAGTTCTCAGTTTCTTTTTTGGGCCGTCCCAAAAAATTATTCCCATTTCCCCTTTTGGAAAGTATTGTGTGACTACCATTCATTTACCTTTTTCCTTTTCAACCACAATCATACATTTTCACTTTATTCCCACTTTCTTAAACTACGATCCAGGTCTTTGTGAGAACTATTTTATGGGATGGGGGAGTATTTTTTAGAGACCGAAAAGATCTTAAAACGAAAAGGTTCTATCTGTTTGATAAAAAATTGGCATTTTGATTTAGTTATGGTATACCAAGTTGTTGTGACTAATTAATGCTAAAAGCTAATTAATGCTGCTATCTCAAAAAGATCTTTTATTTTGTAAAAAACTCTTTAAAATTGTTCTACCAAACATACAACTAAAAGCTTTTGGAGACTTTTTAAATAGTACAAAAGCTAGAAGTCACGGGCTTATACCTACCAAACATGCACTTAAACTTGACTCCTGTTTTGGAAATTTAACTTTTATCAAATGGGTTTGAAACCTTCACTTTCTTAGATACAACACCGATGACAACATAATAGCACAAACCTATAGATTAACAACACAGCCACAAGGTTTGAAGATTTCATTCTTGAAAAAACGGATGATTTTATGTCAAAAGACATGCGTACACACAGGCGGTGTACAAATTATGCACATATACCAAGAATTACTTTATAATAAGTGTAAAATATACAACTTTTTTTTTCTAATAGGAATCAATCTCTAACTTCCTAAATAGGACTAAACATTAAATTTCCTACCTTAATACTCTTAATAGGAGTCCATTGGTGGTGGGCAGTGCGGTGGTGGGCAGTGCGGCGGTGGTGGCGGTGGCAGCCAGCGGCAGAGCTCCGACAACGACGGCAGGGCAATATTCTCGATTTTTTTGCCCTATCGGAGCTTCAACGACCGGTGGAGGGTGGCGGCTGGCAGCAGCAGGTGGTAGGGGCTAATACCTACAAGGCTACAAGGGCATTTTTTCCGATCACAAAAAAATACTCCTATTTTTGCACGTCCCATGTTTTACTCATATTTGGGAAATTAACCAATCTGTTTTCGGTCAAGGCTGTTGTACAGTTGTACCCCCAAAAAATAATAGTACAAACCGAGCTTGAAAAACTGCGGTATGACCTAGGGGTGGACCGAACCGGGCCAAACCGGCCCGCTACTGTGCGGGGCCGGACCGGATGGCCGGTTCCGGGCTTTAGCCCGGGTTGGGCGGGCCTGGGGGGCTGGGTTCGGGCCCTGTTTTTCTTGAACCGGCCCGGGCGGTCCGTGTCGGGCTCGGTTCGTTTTTTTTGCCTTTTCAATTTTTTTTTTCTTTTCCTTGGGTAGGGCTTGGTGTTTTGGGGAGGTTTGAGGGGTGGGGGTGAGGGGGGAGGTGGTCGGAGGTTAATTAGAAAGCAAAAAAAAAATTATACATTGGACCGGCCCAGACCGGTTTGACCCGGACCCGGTATCAACCCGGGCCGGTTCCGGACCTAACATCTAGAAAAAAAGCCCGACTTGAACCGGCCCGGAGCCCAGCCCGGCCCGGTCCCGATCCATGCCTAGTATGACCTAACGATATAAAACCTTCAGATACAACCCATCAAAACATAGGATCAAACGGCTGGACATATTTCAATGATATTATGTGACTATTAGATTTTCATCATTCATGTTGTGGCACTGTGCTTTCATTGTTAAGTGAATAACTGATTTGGTGAAAATCAAGTGGTAACCAGCTAACCGTACTCCCAAAGGCACATGGAACTGGCCGTTTGAAAGGCCTGAGATTGGGACGGATGTTTCAGGTTCTGGTTCACATGCATGCCCCAATCTAGGGACGGACTCGGGCCGGGCCAACCGGCCCGGAACCGGCCCGAACCGGCCCGAACCGGCCCGGAACCGGCCTGATTTTCTAATCGACCCGAACCGCCCGATCGGTTTCGGGCCGGATCATTCTGAACCACACCGCCAGGATCCGAGGCGAGCCACGTGTCACCCAAAGTGCGAACCGGCCAGATCCGGGCCTATGGGTCACTTATTTTATTTTTTTTATTTAAAGCCTCCTAGCCGTTGGGAACACTCCCAAACGGCTCTATAGCTGTTGGGAGGGCTTGGAGGGGGTCCAGGGGGGTTAGGCAGGTGAGGGTGGGGTAAAAAAACCCTATAAATACTCCTATTTTCTAAATAATTTTCTACACATCTTCTCCAATTCTTCCTACTCTCTAATTTTCTTAATCATCTCCATCTTCATCTTCAATTCTCTCTACATATATTTATACAATTATTATATCTACTTATATATACATAGATTATATTACTAAAATAATATTATCTACTTAATATATACTTATCATCTACTTTATAATTTATATATACTTCACATTTATTATATATTATTGTTATTTACTTACATTTACATATTACATCTACTTAATATATACTCCCTCCGTCCCTTATAACTTTGCCAACTTTCCTTTTTTGGATGTCACATTAACTTTGCCACTTTCCCTTTTAAATAAAGAATTTGTGGTTTCAGTTATTTCTCTCCTCTGCACAAACCTCAACCACACAGTTTTTACTTTATTAATCTCCGTGCCGGTCAAACTTGGCAAAGTTATTAGGGACGGAAGGAGTACTTATATATATATATATATATATATTAAAGTATTAAATATAAGTGTATTACCCATCTTATAGTAATATACTTATTAGTATTAAATAGTTCGAGTTAATTATTAATTAATTGTTACATTCATACATATTTAAGTACTTAACATATTTAAATATGGAGGAAACGACCGAAGATGACGAAGATTCCGATTGATTATTTATTAGAAAATGCATTTCATGTTTTAATTTTTTTATCAATTCTCAATTGTACTACATAATTCAAATAAATATACTTTAACTTTTTTTATCCAACAATTCTTGAATTAATAAAAAAAAATTAAACACGGTTCGAACCAGCCCGGTCCGGTCCAAACCCGACCGCTACCCGGCCGGGTAACCCGGCCCGAACCGGACCCGGTAGGTACCCGGGCCGGTTCCGGGCCTCACTTTTCAAAAAAAAAGCCCGGTCCGAACCGAATCGAGGCCCGGCCCGAACCGAGTCCATCCCTACCCCAATCCGATCCAGGTTTTTTATTGGGTAATTCTATTTTTAGCCCAAACTTTACTACTCAGAGCCACCATATTAAACGTAAATGAATATATTTTTTATATACCTGTATTGCCCTTCCACTACTTAAATCAATACATACACATCATCTTCCATTCGTTCATCTTGAATTGGAGATGAAGTAGATCAAGTGCAGATATACAAAAAAAATACGTAGTAGATGAATTCCAAACTTCTGAAGTCCAAACAACGTACAATAGATTGGGAGGGATGAAATTGACGGTCTCTCTCTTGTTTCTGTTCATCATTGAATTCGAATAGTACTTTTGTTTTAGGAAGACTGGAAGAGAGTCAGAGATATGCTTGCTCCGGCATCCCCGGCCGTCATTCTTCAACAGGACGCCGGTTGGAAACCATTCACCCAGGTGCAGGGATGCTCTGCAACAGATAGAGTCTTGCATGAATGGGATTAAGGCTTACCGTAGTACTTGGATGGTAGAAATTGGTCCAGACTCGACTCTAGAGTGTTTCCAAACCATCACTCATCATCGCTGCGCGATTATTCCTCCTCAAGGGTAAGTTGGTTTACTTAGTATAATAATATTATTTATAATTATTTATTTTGGAGCTGTATTTAACAATGTGGAGGCTGCAAATAGAATCTCCCTTTTTATTTCACAAGACCCTCCATCTCCCTCCCCAACTTTTTCAGCTTTTAAATGGACCTCACCCATTTTCACCAATTTTAAGTTGCTTTTTTATTTCATAAAACCCTCCATCTCCATCCCCAACTTTTTCAGCTTTTAAATGTACCTCACCTAGTCACCCGTTTTAAGTTGCTTCCCATAGGTTCCAATGAAAAAAAGTGGGGCTGTAACTGAGACCAGACCGGCTAGAACCTACCGGTCAGTCCTGGACCCAAAAAGTGAGGCCCGGGACCAGTCTTCCTATTTCCCGCCAGTCCAGTCTCAGTTTTGGGTCAGAACCTTAATTTCCAGTCCCGACAGAACCTTGTCCAGCCCTAGCGACACATATGTAGTCATCTCCATATTAAGAGGACAGTCCTCTACTCCCCTAGCGACACATATGAAGTCACCTTTTGGTATGAACACTTAATTCAATAATAACTCCGTAAATAACGTGGTCATGGAAATTCACCTAAAATTGAACAAAGCAGTTTCATCTTACATGTGTTGCTGCACACATTCAATTTACGAGTGATGGAGCATAAATTCATGTAGCACAGAGATTGACAGAAAGAAAACATCCCCACCTTTATAAATGCAATTTGTTACATGAGTTAACTTGGTGTTACATGTAATTTGTGAGCCAGTTCATTGGAAGAAAACTGAAAAATAAAATGCAGAAATTTACAATCTATTTCCAACAGAAAAGCGGCAATACACTAAGCTGAATTTACATTTCTAACCCTCACGTCCTCACAATTCCTCGGTAAAAGGCATGATCAAGGAGGTCAAAGGAAATGAACAACTATACCAGGCCATCGGAAATTAGGATGCTAAAAAGAATGATGGGTAAGCAGGATTGGACAATAACCCCCACAAGCAAACAACTAATTCTAATTCAACCCTCAGTTCAGTTCTAATTGGGTGTTATGTGGCTAAAGCGGTAACATTGAGTCGTTGAGGTAGGTGACAAGAAAAGACCTTTTATTAGTGTGAATGTAAGAGTAACATGTTGGAGTTTATTCCTCACTTCCAGTGGCAATGCTTGACTTGTCAAGTGTGCGTACATTGTACTGTTTGTAAACTCTACCTCTGTTTTCTGCCCACCACTGTTCAGCCTGTTTCTCACTAAACCGCTTGCGGCTGCATTTAAACAGTTATAGCAAGAAGATACTTTCAGTTCATACATACCATGGTAACTGGTAAGTAAGCTTATAACACTTGATTGGTGAAGGTAAGATGTTCTTAATCAAAGCTGAGATATTTACTAAATGAAGATATTGCATATTCAGTCCCAT